TCCCCTGGGTGTCTGCCTGACAGTCCAGATTCTCCCCATAAGAGCATGGGTCCTCAGGGGCTCATCTGGAACTGGGATTCAGTGCAGCTTTGACCTATGAACCAGGAGGTCACATTTCAGGTTGATTCCTGGTCAGGGCATATGCCCAGGTTATAGCTTGGATCCCCATTGTGAAAACAATTCTCATCATTTTCTGTTTCTGTTTCTTTCTCAGTTTCCCTTCTGCACTGAAAATAATAAATATATTTCAAAAAAGGAGAGCAGCTGACACTCATCTAGGATCAATTGGTGAAATAAAGTTATATGGTTCCAATATCACCAAATATTTATATTTTATAAGATAGTTTATAATTAAAAAAAAGATAGTTTGTCTTTGATGTCTCAAATTTTATTTTAAATAAATTTTTATTGTTCATATTATTACAAATGTTCCCCCCCCCCCATTGCTCTCCTCCACCAGGTTCCCACCCCACCCTCTGCCCTTTCCCCCCTCCCCATTGTCCTCATCCATAGGTGCACAGTTTATATTCAGTCTCTTCCCACATCCCTTTTCCCCAAGAATCGTCAGTTCACTCCCCTTCCATACCTCTGATTCTATTATATTCAACAGTTAATATTGTTCATCAGATTTTTTTTTAAATTTCTTTGGTTTTTATTTTATTTTATTTCTTTTATTTATTTTTTTTGGTTAGGACTTTTTTATTTTATTTTATTTTAATTTTTTATTTTGAAGGAATATTTAATATTAACATTGTGAGTTATTATCTTTTGCATATCAAAGTTACACATTTCAAACAAATCGTCATTTATATTTACAGTATACAAATGCAAAGCACTAATTTCCCACTAAATCATCACTTCCTTAAAATGGTACATGTGATGTTATGAAATTAGCTATTAAGAATTCAAAATAGTGGAAGAGAGGTCCTTTCTTCAGTCTCTTTTTTTAAAATATATTTTTTTGATTTTTTTTGCCCCCCTCCTTCCCCAGAGTTTTATGTCCATTGGTTGTACTTATGTGCATGTATAAAAGTCCTTCGCTTGATCTATTATCTCCCCCAGATCTTCCTCCCCTCCTCGCTGTAATTTGAGTCTTCTTGTTGATATACTGTCTCCATATCTATCTTTTGGTTCATCAGTTTATAATGATCTTTATTATCCACAAATGAGTGAGGTCATGTGGTGTTTTTCTTTCATTGATTGGCTTTTATTTGGGTCCTCTCTCTTTGTTTCTTGGTTAGCCTGGCTAGGGGTCCATCTATCTTGTTTATTCTTTCAAAGAACCAGCTCTTGGTTTTGTTGATCTTATGTATTGTTCCTTTGGTCTCTATGTCGTTTATCTGTGCTCTGATTTTTGTTATTTCCTTCCTTCTGCTTACACTGGGCTTTTCTTGTTGCTCTTTTTCTAACTCTTTGAGTTGTAGAGTTAGATCATTTGTTACCCTTTTTCCTAGTTTTTTGCAATAGGCTTGTAGGGATATGAACTTCCCTCTCAAAACTGCTTTTGCTGTGTCCCATAGATTTTGGATAGTTGTGTTTTCATTGTCATTTGTTTCCAGGATGTTTTTAATTTCTTCCTTGATTTCTTTGGTAACTCATTCTTTGTTTAATAGCATGCTGTTTAGTCTCCATGTGTTTGATTTGTTTGGAATTTTTTTATTGTAGTTAATTTCCAGTTTTATGCCACTATGATCTGAGAAGATGCTTGATATGATTTCTATCTTCTTGAATTTGAAGAGACTTTGCCTATGTCCCAAAATGTGGTGTATCTTTGAGAATGTCCCATGTGCGCTTGAGAAGAATGTATATTCTGTGGCTTTGGGGTGGAATGTTCTGAAGATGTCAATTAATTCTATCTGGTCTAGTGAGTCATTTAGGATTGATATTTCTTTGCTGATTTTTTGTTTAGATGACTTGTCAAAGGGTGACAGTGGGGTATTAAGATCTCCTACTATGATTGTATTGCTATTAATGTCTCCCTTAATGTCCTCCAGCAGTTTTTTTAATATATTGGGGTGTTCCCGTATTGGGTGCAAATATATTTACCAGGGTTATTTCTTCTTGTTGGATTGCTCCCTTTAGTATTATGAAGTGGCCTTCATTATCTCTTGTTATGTCCTTCACTCTGAGATCTAATTCGTCAGATATAAGTATTGCTACCCCAGCTTTTTTTTTCATTTCCATTCGCCTGGAAAACCTTATTCCATCCCTTCACCCTCAGTCTGTGTGCATCTTTTTTTCTGAGGTGGGTTTCTTGTGGACAACAGATATATGGGTCTTGTTTTCTTATCCAATCCGTTACCCTATGTCTTTTGATTGGAGCATTTAGTCCATTTACATTTAAAGTTATTATTGATAGATACTTATTTGACGCCATTTTTATTCCATACCCCTGTGTTCTTTCTTTGCTTTCTATTTCTTTAATTTTACAGTAGACCCTTTAGCATTTCTTGCATTGCTGGTTTGGTGGAAATAAATTCCCTTAGTCTGTTTTTGTCTGTGAAGCTACTGATTTCCCCTTCAATTTTGATTGATAGCCTTGCTGGGTACAGTATTCTTGGATTTAGACCCTTCCTTTGCATGACTTTGTATATTTCATCCCATTCCCTTCTGGCCTGATAAGTTTCTGTGGAGAAATCAGTTGCTAGTCTGATGGGGGTTCCTTTATATGTAACTTTCTGTCTCTCTCTGGCTGCTTTTAAAATTCTTTTTTTGTCGTTGGTGTTTGCCAGCTTAATTATAATGTGTCTAGGGGTCGGTTTTCTGGGGTCCATTTTGCTTGGGACTCTGTGAGCATCTTGGATTTGTGTGGTTTTTTTCTTCTCTATCTCAGGAAAGTTTTCTGTCATTATTTCTTGAAATACGTTTTCCATGTCTTCCTCAATTCCCTTTCCTTCTGGAACCCCTATTACTCTAATATAGTTTTGTTTTGTATTGTCCCAAAGTTCCCTTAGACTTTCCTCCTGTTTTTTAATTTTTTTTCCAGAAGCTGTTCTAATTGGGTATTTTTTTCCATCTTGTCTTCTAGCTCACTAATGCGGTCCTCTGCTTCTTCTAATCTACTCTTGATGCTTTCTATTGAGTTCTTTACAGTAGCGATGTCATTTTTCATTTCTTCTTGGTTCTTCTTCATTTCCTCTTGGTTCTTACTCATATTGTCAAATTTGTCTTCCATTCTTTTTAGCCATCTTATGATCATTACTCTGAATTCTTGCTCTGGTAGGTTGCTTCCCTCTATCTCGTTTACTTCCTTTACTGGTGAAGCCTGCTTCTCTTTCATATGCGGGCTGTTTTTTGGTCTCCCCATGATCTAGGATGTCTGGTTGTGTAGTTCTCTCTCTCCTGCTTTGATTTAAAGGCACAAAATATACTACAACACAACCAGGTACAACACACAAGGGACTGAATGGGGATGTGTTTGCAATATTAATAACCACCAATAAGGGTGACTAGAACCCAGCTAGCAAAAACATACATTCAAACAAAAAGCATAGGCAAATCAATCTTATAAAAAAAAAGCATACAACTTCAGTATAGTTAACATTCAACATACAACTTCAAAAAGTTAGAGAGAAAGACTTTTTTTGTTTTGTTTTGTTTTGTTTTGTTTTGTTTTTAGGACAACTTCGGGGGAGTTGTGAATGGGCTCGGAGCAAGTAGTTGGAAATTAGATATATACAAGTAGGGTGAAATTTTAGGAGGGGGTAGACAGAAGGAATGGGGAAAATCTAGAGCAAGAAAGGGTTAAGATAAACGGGGTACCAGAGGAAAAGATTGGAAAGAGGGTGAAGGCATAAAGGTAAGGTTGAGATATAATAAAGCGTTGGAGAAGGAAAGATAGATAAAGACTGTAGAACAGTAATCCTGAAATAAAAAGAAAATACATATAATCAAATGAAATAAGAATAATAAAAATAAATAAAAGAAAATAAGATGAAAAAGGTAACAGTAGTCGTAATAATGTTGATTATGTATACAATGTAATAATTATAAAGATAAAATCAAGTGAGGAAAAAGAAAAAAAATAGTTTCTTAAGTAAACGTTGCAAATAATGAAAACAAAAATAAAAAACAAAAATTTAAAAATTAAAAAAAATAAAATAAAAATTTAAAAATTTGAATAAAATTTGCAGTAATGAAGGTCATTCGCTTCCTCTATTGTTATGATCCAGTCCTGATTTTTAGGCAGGTTTTGCTTTGTTTTTATTACACTAGAGTCAATTTGTGAATTAGCCTCTGCGGGCAGTGTTTCTAGGTTGACTTCCCAGACTCTAGAGCCTCTCCAGCTTTTTTTTTCCCCCCTCTGTCCTCTCTGAATCAGGAACTACGGAGGAGGGGAGGGGGCAGGTCCGAGCAACTGCAATCTCCCGCAACTCTCTGATACCCCTCTGCGCCAGATCCGAATTTGTTGCTCTTTAGATATCTCCCCTGTTAGGAGCCCCGTCCACTTTCACGGGTGACACCCGCCCAACAGCTGGGGCTTCTACTTGTAATCACCGCCCTTGTCCTCCAGCTTCCTTGCTCTCTGTGCACGCAGGCTTTGTTTTCGCCGCGAGTGCTCTCCACCCTCTCCCCGCAAAATCTGACCTTTTTGCTGAGCAGTGGGGCACTCCTCTGAGGCCAGGTGTTCGCGCCGCCTAGGATCCACGTTCTGGGGGGTCACAGTTGCTTGTTGGTGGCTCCAATATATTATACTTTAAACATACTTTGCATATACTTTACATCACAGCTTTGAGTTTTGTAAAAAGAATAAGTAGCCAGTTACATTGATATTTACTTCAGTACTCCACTAACATTGCACTTATTTCAAATGATGGATTCATATTAAGTGATAAAGTATTGATAAAGGCTGGACAAATTTATTCTCTCTGTCCCTGAGTTTATCTCTAGAATGAGGAGAGCATTGTTATGAGAATTAAATAAACCATGCAACATACTTGGCACATAGTGTTTAAAAATATTAGTTATTGCCATTATTATAAAATAAAATGGTTACTCACTCTTTTGTTGAGACAAATAACAGGCCACAGGCTGCAACCCAGAGTACAACAACAGCAGAGACAACCACACAGGAGCCATTTCACATTGACTGGGAGAGCCTTTTTCAAACACGCATTCACACGGCCAATGCTGGTCTTAAATTCTTCTGGGGCCACCTACAACAAGAGCATGATCTTAAACAGTTTATGGACAACTTTCCACTACTTATCTCTAAACCTAAAGAAAATGTTTGTCTATTACAAGTACTTTAAGGAAATACATGTTTAAATAGATTTCCTCTCTTGCCTGGCCGGCATGATTCAGTGGTTGAACATCGACATATGAACCAGGAGATCATGTTCCCTCCTGGTCAGGGCACATACCTGGGTACAGGAGGCAGTCGATCAATGATTCTCTCTTATCATTAATGTTTCTATCTCTTTCCTTCTCCTTACCTTCCCCAATAAAAGCATAGTACATATTCCTGGATGACATTAGAAAGAAAAATATATATAATTTCATGTTTACAGAATTCATTTTGATGTTTAATATCAACCTTCTCATATTACCAACAACAAAAAAGTGACAACAGTAAAATTGGTGGTAAAGAATAGCCATCAAGCAGTCATCTTACCAAATATTCTTAATATTAAGGCAATGTTATTTGTAGTTCCCAGTCACTCTGACCAGAAGTTGAGTAAGATTAGAAGTATAATATGAACCTATATACTACTAGAGAAAATGAAATTAAAATTAGACTTTGGCAATATTCCTGAATTACTTTTATTTATTTACTAGAGACCTGGTAAATTTGTGCATTCAGCGGGGAGAGGGTCCCTCAGCCCAGCCTGTGCCCTCTTTCAGTTGGACATTTTTAATGTTGCCTCAGTGGGAGAGGCTCTGGTCAACGCAGCTGAGCTTGCCAGCCATGAGCCTGGTTTCTGGCTGACCATCGAGGGGCAGCTCCTGTGTTGAGTGTCTGCTCCTTGGTAGTCAGTGTCAGACACAGCAACTGGTTTCACAGTTTGGTCTATTTGCATATTAGCTTTTTATTATATAGGATTAAAAAATATTATTACTGATTTTTAGAGAAAGAGAGATAAAAACATCAGTCAACTGCCTCCTGCATGCCGCCTTACTGGGGATCAAGCCAGCAACCTTTTGGTGTAGGAGTTGACACCTAACCACTGAACCACAATGGCCAAGCTTGGATTACTTTAAAAAAAAGACAGCTGTTGTCCAGCTGGAGTGGCTCAGTGGTTGAGTGTCGATCTATGAACCAGGAGGTCATGGTTCAATTCCTGATTAGGGTACAAGCCCAGCTGGTAGGCTTGATCCCCAGTGTGGGGCATGCAGGAGGCAGCCAATCAATGATTCTCTCTCATCATTGATGTTTCTATCCCTTTCTCCTCTTCCTTCCTCTCTGAAATAAATAAAAATGTATTAAAAAAAATGACAACTGTCAAACCTTTTCTGCCTGGCAAATTTGCAACATAATTTTAACACTTGCCATTATTTCCTTTATTTGTAGGTAAAAGGTCCATTTACAAAAGACTATGAGAAGAATACACTCAAGATATGGTCTTAATATTCAGCATAAAATGGACTCATGATTGCTGTAAATTTTGAAAGTTTGAAAGTCATTATACAAATTTAGTATTTGTAACTACTACCTCCATTCCTGGAAGTGGCTGCTTGTGCTTCTTTGTAAACCATAACAAAGTCAGTTCAAAGGCATGAGATGCATAATTAGATTTATATTGAAAATTCTGCTTGGGGTTCAAAAGGACACTAAATATGTTTTGATTTCAGTGAAATCATGTTTCTGAATCACAAAATTATTCCCTTTGATTTAGAAAACTGGCAGGCTAATATCTATGAGGGAAAAACCCAGCACCTGGCTATGCAAGTAACACTTATGAAACTGTTAGGAAAAAGAAGCTGCTGTAAAACAAAACCCCAATTAGCATGTTTGTTATCAAAATATGGACTTTTACAATTCTAAGTAAAAATTAAACTAGAGGAATCAACGAATTAAATTTTTGTCTATTAATCAACACTAAAAATATATACCTATTAGCAGATGCTAGAAAGATACATGATCACAGAACTCAGCACCATCATGATTAAAACATTAAGTAATTACATTAGCTTTATTAGAATCATTCATGTCATTTTTTCTTCATAATATATTAACTAACAACAGTTGTGAAATTATGAGGGCTCAAAACTGTATTAACATGGGGAAAGTAAACTAGTTTTGTTCTCCATCTATATGGTTAGCAATATGATCTAAAGAGTAAATTAATGAGTAAAAAGAATTCCAATTCAATGACTAAATTTTCAAGGTAAATACAAAAATAAATTTAGAGAACCATGGATTATAACTGAAAATAGCAGGCTAAACTAGCAGGCTAAACACATTAGACAAAATAATCAAGATCTGAATTCTAGTAACTTATTGGCTATAACAAATCCTAGGCAAATCCATTTAATTTTTCTGAGTTTTAGTTTCCCAGCTATACAAAAGGAGAATAATAGTCTTGTTTTATAAGCTCACAGGAAATGGAAACATTCTGACTGTAATGCTTTGAAAATGGAAGACTGTGAATCATACCTCTGGTTAGATTTGGAGATTTTGCATGAAGTTTCACTCAAACAGCTTTGCTGCATATTTAATTATAAACAAAAGGATAATCTGCTATATTTTGAAATCAAATTCAATGCTTGTCAGTACTTAAATTCATCAGAGCAAAAATGATATACTTTTAATTTTATTTATAAACAATTATTATAAGAATTTACATTTATTATTCGAACCAAACTGATGGCATGTCAAGAAATAAGATGTTTTGAAACACCTTCTCTACTCCTTTCTCCCTTTCTGCCTCTTCTGGCATACCTACTATTCTAACACAGTTACATTTCACATTGTCCAACAGCTCCTTTAAGCTGTCCTCCTGTTTTAAAATTTTTTTTTTTGTTCTCTAATTGAGTAATATTTTCAACTCTGGGTTCTAATTCTCTGATTTGATCTGCAGCTTCCCCTAATCTGCTGTGCATTCCTTCCAATGTGTTCTTTATTTGTTTTATGTCATTCTTATCTCAGACTGTTCTTTTTTCATAGTTACTATATATTTTTTATACTGTTCAGTATTTTTAACATCATTACTCTGAACTGTATTTCAGATAAATTTCTTAACTCTGCTTCATTTATCTCTTCTTCTGGAAAATTCTCTAATTCTTTCATTTGGGGGTTGTTTCTTTGTTTCTTCATTTTGAGTGTCTGTTTGGGTTTGTGACTATGTATTAGGTAGATCATCTACAACTCTCAATCTCTAGTGCAGGACAGCGTTAAAGGCTATTTCTGACTAATTGGTCCAGGCAAAGACTTGAATAGGATTCCAACTTGAATTGCCCCCAGGAAATCATCCTCGGGTGTGGCAAGAGTTTTTTTTTTTTTTTTTTTTTTTTTTTTTCAATTGGGTGGGGAAGTTGCTTCTGCCTGGAGGCTAATTGCTACTTTTAAGGACAAGGTGTTTTCCTATAGGGTGTGTTGACTATCTCCCCTCACCCCCTCAGGCAAGGCAGATGTCTGTGTGGGGAAGATGTCCTCTGTTGTGTAAGGTAATGATTCAGTCCAGGAAACTTGGAGTGTCTGTCTTCTGAGCTCTATCCCCCGAGTCCCCAGGCCTGGGTTCTGCTCTCACAGCTCCAGTCCACTTCACACTCCCTCTGCCAGAGCACAAGGTGGGTGGCTCCACAGGGCATTTTTGTTCATTGGCTCTTTAGGAGGGTGCCCAAACTTTCCCTGGCAGACAGTATCCCACTGCTTTTCACAGTTAGCTGTTATGTGGGTACCCTCATAAGTTTTGTACTCCCTGCTAGGGAGCCCAGCTTAGGGATTAGATCCCCAAGTTCTCAGTGGCACCCCCCGCGACACACAGCTGAGATATCTTTTTGGGACTTCAGTTGCCATCTGTGGGTGCCTGACCAGTCATTTTGCATCTCTGCCCCTGCTACCAGTCTCTATGTGGTCTCCACTTTTGGTCTTGGGTATCAGGGTTTTCTCCTGTGAGTTTTGCATTGATTATTCATGCAGCCTTTTGGTATTTCAGTTGTAATTCCAGCTTGTTCCTGGTTGCATGTCTGCGCAGCATTCTCCTACTAGTACTCTGCTGCCATTTTTAATCTCAAACATCAGATTTTTTAAAAGTCATAAAATATATTAAAAATAACTTACAAAAATTTCAAACAATGAATTAAAAATCTGCATTTTTGGCTTTAAAAGAGGATAGGAATGTTTTTGAAAAAATCTATTTAATAACAATTAAAAAATAAAACATAAATGTATAGGACATGAGAACTGGTTAACTACTGAATTCAAACAATGTGAAAAAAATGTTAACTGTGTGGAATCAGAGTTAATAAAATATTACTCATTTACTTCCATATAATTGAGTATCTCTAGTAAAAAGAATATAAGGATGCATTTTATTTTATAGTCAAATGGCAAGATGTAAAGTCACATTTAATTCTTTTTGACCTTCTTGCAAAGAAAACAGAAAACCACATCATAAAGGTAGAAAAGGAGTCATAATATTTTATAACAGGATACAGGGGACTGAAGACAGAAGAAAATCTAAGTTAAACCCAGTAGAAGTGATTGTTTCCTTCACTCATGGGCGACATAACCCTATCAATCACTTGTTATCACAAAAGTAAATGTCAATATTATGGCTTATGGTTCCCAACACTGCACACTAATCTCCCCATAATACCATTTAATTGTTTCAAGCTGAGGGTTAGGAGCTTTTATTTCTTTTCTGAAATTCCAAAGATCTTGACTTAATAAATGAATTTGGCAATGTAGCAGGATACAAAATTAACGCCAAGAAATCTGTGGCATTTCTATACACCAACAGTGAACTTACAGAAACAGACTAAAAAAGCAATTCCATTTACCATTGCACCAAAAAAATTAAGATACCTAGGAATAAATTTAACTAAGGAAGTAAAGGACCTATATGCAGAAAACTACACGAAACTGAAAAAAGAGATAGAGGAAGATGTAAACAGATGGAAGAACATACCATGTTCATGGATTGGTAGAATCAACATCATCAAAATGTCCAACTTCCCAAAGCAATCCATAGGTTTAATGCACTCCCCATTA